AAAACTTGTGACTTCCTTTCAGCAGGGCTTTGAAATACTCATCACACACAGATCTGCCAGCACAGTGTGGATGTCCTCAAAAAAAAGGCAAAATTTGGACTGTCATGAGACACTGACTTTTCTGGAAGAGGGGGAGTATCAGCGATAGGAATAGTGGGGAAAAAACATGACACATTTAAGACAAATGAGGAAACACAAATGAATCATCTTTGTAGAACTCAGCCAAAATTTACCCAGAGGGATGGAGGAAGAGGGGAAAAGGACACAAAAATACAGCCACAACAAATACTAAGCTGCAGCTCTGGTCTTAAAAATCTAACAGGGGATGTCCAGGGATTACTTCTAATCCCCTGTAGAAACTCTCTCCAAATCTGTCCAGAGCAGTTTTGTTTAAAGAAATTACAATGGCAGTGGCATTAGGAAAGCCAACTCCAAAATCAGAAAATTTACAGCTTGTTTGGCAACATTTTTCCTGCACTTACTCATCTGCTTGAAACAGTTTGAAATCAGGCTCTGATAGAAGCGATTTTGTAATTTTTTGTAACTTTCTCAGAAAACCTTGAGGTTTACTGTAGAGGCAAGCATAGTGTCCATCAAGAGATGAGAGAAATGAGGGGACAGAGGGAACAAAACCATATGACAAGGAAAGATGAATTCATTTAGATAGAGAGCTTGGCAGGAAAGACTGGAAATGACACAGGTTGAACATGCAGATGTAAATCAAGGAGCCTAGAAATTAGGAGACTGATTGGAATTGTCTCCATACAAAATTTGAAATTGTCAAATTTATCTTAATGTATTTCTGACAGGACACTCAGTGTGCATTCATCTGAAGCACATAACTCATGTCTGAAGTCCTTAGGCTTGAAGGCAACTTAAAAAAAATAGAAATAAATAAATAATACATATAACTGCAGTATCATGAAAATACAGAAAACTGAGCAAAAATTGAGGTCACAGGGATTTGTTCCATACCTACACAGATGTTAACAGATGCCTGAAGTGATGACTGAAGTGATGACTGACACCCCAGGTCACCTGGTTCAGTCAGGTGTTTTTAGACAGGGTACAAATGTTTACATTGACAAATGGAAATGGACTCTTTCATCTTTTCAAAAGGCTGGCATGCCAAGCCTACAAGGTGTTGCTCAGCCACCCCTCAGCAGAAGCCAGCCAGAGCTGTTTAAACACTACTTGGAGCAGGCTGAGCCAATGCAAATATCAATTTTGATTAATGATCAAGTACCTGGTCTGAGCACAACAGAAAAACTGACCTGCTCAGTATTTCATCACTCCCAACATTTTGAGAATTTGCTTCCAGAACTGCAGTTTACTGTAATTCTCATTCCCACTCCTGTTCTCACCTTTATCCAGCAAGGAAGGGGGCAACAGCTTTAAAAAGTTAGAGGAAGAGAATGGAGAGGATTTGAAGAGTGTTTTGTGCTGGGGCTGATTGACAGACATTGCTCCATTCAGAACCACCCCCATGATTATTGCCTATGAAAGGGATCCATTAAGCAGCTCTCCCTGCCCTATTTGCTCGCTGAGTTGGTTTCATGACTATGCTGAGAAGGAAATAGTTCAGTGCAGACATGAACTCATTTGGATTGGTGCCCTCAAGCAAACGCAGCTCGAGTGGAAATCTTAGGCATATGAGGTGCAGTAAGGCGGAAGGGAAAGGAGGCCAAATTTCAGGGGGTGAATGCTGACTGTGAGCTAGATCAGAACAGCAGCACCAGATAAGAGCTGGATTGCTCACTGCTGCACCACAAAGCCCCACATTCAGCATTACCTGCTTGAGGATCCTTGCTGACTTGCATACCCAGTGCAAACCTTCCAGGGAATTCTAATCTGCCTCTTTCTTGTACTTTCCAGCAAAACCCTTTTTGAAGTTTGGCTTTCTGCACTCCCAGTGTTGAAAAGCTAAAAAGGACTGCCAGGAATTCTCTTATCACCAGCTCTGTCAAGTGCCACATTTCACTCAAGCCTACAGAACAAAATAAAACTGGGTATGAGAGGAAGGGATCCAAGTGTAAAATGCAGTCATGCCAAGGAACCAACTGGCAGAAAACAGGGACTCCATCCTCTGGAAGATAAACCTTATAATTTGTGCATTAATTATAGCTCATTTACCTTCCTTATCCTGTATTTCCTCCTCCCAACTGGATTTTGAAGCAAAGGCCTGAGCCTTTATACAAACAAGCTAATGGATTCTAATGGCTCACCCTGACGCAGTGTTATTTAATCACAGCAGCACTTCATTTTCCCTGCTGTATTCAGGGAAGAAAAAAGAACAAAGATTGCATCCACATTCAGCTGTCTCATCCAAACACATCTTATTTCAGTTTTCAAATTCCATTCTTTCCATTGTAGTCAAATTTTCTCGTGCCTTCATCTTAGTAGTCTCCCTTTAAGAAATAATACAACAGAGATTTAAGTACTTAAATCTTAGTCTTACTTAGCATTTAAGAAAGATACAGTAGAATACAGCAGATACAGGTTCTTGCACATACTTTGTAAAGACTTTTCATCTTCTGTGTCCCAGCTGTCCCCAAATCCCATTCCCATCATGCTTCTGGGTGCATTCTGTTCCTTTATCTCTGTCATTTAGTTCCCTTACTCTTTGCTCCACACACTCCCAGTTATTTGCCAGGACAATTCTGTCTCCGTGGGAGTGGACCAGGTACAGGCACCAGTGCTCCTCCAAACTTGGAGTAAACAAAAATGGTTTGTCAGACTTCTACCCCAGCACCTTTTGTCTATTTGGCCCCACAGCCCTGCATGCTCAGCCTTGTCCTCTGCCCTTTCTCCTGTCCCTTCAGAAGGTGGGGAAATGCTCTCACAGCATTTCTCCTCCCCAGCTGCCACTGAGCCTGTTTTTCCTTATTATCAGGTGTGTCTCACGCAAGAGGCCTGGTTTTTATCTCATGGTTGCAGGGAAGGGTATAAATCAAATAATTAATGCTGGCACTCCTGTTTCACTTAACATCACATGTGCACTCCACCCTATCTTACTCACATGATTTAATTCTTGGGCTCTTTTCCCATCCCTCTTTTTGCTGCAACTCTCCTGTTCATGTTTGATCCTCCCATGGACCTCTTAGTGATCACTTGTCCCTGCCTCTCTTTCCCCTCTCCACTCTCTCCTTTTCATCTCTGCCCCACCTCTTCTCTCTCCCCCTTCCTCCTTCCCCACACCAAGACTCTTAACACTTCACCATCAGCATAACTTATTTTCTTTCACTTGGCCCAAATCTTGAGAAAAATCACATGAATATTTAAAGAAAGAGGGTAGGAAGTAACTCATGTAAAAACCTGCAGCTCTTTCAGAAAGGTGTCACTTCCCATGAGGAATGACAAAGCACAAAGGTCAAACTTCACAGCCACCCAGAGCACAACCTGTCTTTTATCATGCTGGGGTCAAAGTGATCATCTACAGAACAAAGAGATGGAAGACCAGAACACCTCACCTCTCCCTGAGCAAATAAAGCACCACATTTGTTCCAGGTAAACGAAGGAAAAAGCAAGCAGGTGAAAAAGCAAAAAAGAGGTGTTGCTGCCAAGTTGTTTCAGTGAAAAATTTCAAGTGCCAGCCATTCACTCCTTGCTCTCCTTGACTCCTTTCAGTTGCATCAGCAATGGTATTGTACAGACAATTATTTCTGTACATACTGTTTGTACCAAGGCACTTAATGTCCCCCTTGCTTTCACCAGAATTGTCCATCTATTCCAGCATCTAATAAATATACAGAAATATTTAAATCACATTTTATTTTTCAAATTCAAAAATAACAATTAGCTTTATTTACCACGTTACACATCTCAGATTTAAAATATCATGCTCTATTTAAATATCCGAGTGACAACACTATACAAATAAAATGTTCCACAAAATATATTTAAGAAAATGTTTTGGTCTTCAATCTGAACAATAAATAGACAGGCACTTCTACATATACAAAGAAAGCGACCACTATTTAGAGTAATTCTTATAAGCAAGGTGTGGAAATAGAGAAGATCTGAGTTTTGAGGACACATGTAACTCTACATGAGGCTTCATGCAAGCTTCAAAGTTTGGTTTGGAATTTGAAGCTCTTGGGATCTGCACAATTCTGGATTTGCAGACGCTTTACAGGAGACCCAAACCACGCCCTCAAGAAGCAATGTGCAATTTCAATCATTTCCATCAAATCAAGCTACCTGATCACATTTAGTGCCCAAACAGAAAACAAGGATTCACCAGAGTAGCTTTCCACAGAAATAACATGAGCAACAAGTCAGCTTCAGTAAGCAGGCTTGAGGCTGGGGCAGCCCTACCTGCCTAACCCCAAAAATACCTCATCTTTTTCCTTACACATTGAGCTCTTAGGGGGCATTTCCAGCAGAGCTATGCCTTTTAAAAAACAAAACAAAACAAAAAAACCAACCAAAAAAACTTCATCTAATAAAAGGTTAAATCCTTCAGACATGGGTACACTTTGCACAAAAGATTGTAAGTAAAGGGAAAAAAAAACATTCCAGGGTGCAAAAGAACTGAAAAACATAAATTAAAAAAAAAAAAAAAAAATCAAAATTTCAAGTCTCATAAACCTATCTTGTCTAAAAGTAAAATGACATTCCCCCAATTTGTGTATTTTCAATTTGCAGTGGTGTCCACACACAAACACTACTCAAGGGAAAATTATCTTCCACCATCACAATTGATGCAAGATGCATTGTGGTAGGCAATCCCTGTTTCCAGTACAGCTAACCAGTCACTGACAGCTAGTTATAGCCTCAAAGTCTTTTTTAAAATTAAGACCAATATTGAAACATAACGACCACCACGTCAGTGGAAAAGTCAGGACCGAGTCTTCAAGCCATCCCTTCAAATTTTAGTATTAACTCTCATTCTCAGAAGTACAGGAAAAAGGTTACAGCGAAAATTCAGCTATTAGACAGAGCTTCAGTGATCCAAACTTGCAAAGTTCTTTGGACTTAAGACACTTATGCACATTACTTTAACAATTTAAGTGTGGATCTTGCAAGCGTGTCCAAATCTTAATCATTTCTTGAGGTTTTCTGCTGTGCACTAACATTAAGTTTGTGTAGGAACAGATGTTATTTCTGTATTTCTCTTCGATATCAAATGTTTTGAAGCCTTTGTGTTTTTCTGGAGCCAGCCCAAGCTTCTGAAGGCACATTCCAGTATAAACATCATCAATAGGGTAGAGGAGTACCTGGTCAGATGCATTATTCAGTCTTAGTGCCAGATCACCAGAGTACAGGAACCCGCCGCCTCCTGCGTACGGGGGATACGAACCTTCATAAACGCTTTCTGGGATGTAGTACTTCAATTTTTTCTCTCTGTGAGGTCCAGCATCTTTGATCACGTCACCTATAAATAAGTCTTTGGCTTTTTCCTTTGATAAACTCTTCAAGTAATCCAGGATCTGATTGGTATTCACAAAAACATCATCATCACCCTTAAAAATAAACTGGACGTTTGCGCAGCTGCTGCTGACCCACTTCAGAAACAGCACCTCTTTCAGAGTCAGATTGAAGAAAGTGTCTCTGTAGTTCCAGAGGAGAATGTCTCGGTGGGTGTCACTCTCAAATTTAATCATGTGTGAAAGGTCAGGAAAATTATCCTCTGGTGGGGTCTGCCCGAGCAAGAAGACCCTTCTGACTATCACATCCCCTGATTCTATTTCCTTGCCCCAGGATTCCCTAATTGCTTGTCTTCTATCAAAATGGGGTATAAGTGACTTAATAGCCAGCAGCAGGAAAGGTTTCTGTTCACACTTGTTTGGCTGATCTATTAGCAATGAGTAATTTCTACACCTCAAATAGAGGAGGAAGTCTTTGAATCTGTCTGGCAGGTTTGCAAAGTCACTAACCTCTGAGTGCACCAAGGGGTCAGGGTCACAAGAACTGAGAGCACTGAGATTAGAAACTAAGTTCTCCTCCACAGTCATATTGGACAGCAAGGACAGAATTGGGTTGTACAGCAGCTCAAGCTTCTGTTGCTGTTTGTTCCAATAAGCTTTCTGAGGAGTGTATTTCCTCCAGAATTTGCTACGTGGTATAACAACACGGCCTTTCGCATTCTTGTCTTGGCTGCCGCTCTTTGAGACTTCCACAATCACATAAATAAAAATGTTTACCATCATCAGAATTCCCAGCAGCTTTAATCTTCTGCGTCCAACACTCATTTCTCATATCTAGAAATAAATAGAAAAAAAGTATTTTTAGCTTTCTTCAAAGCAAGTTCTTGATCTCATTAAAAATGCAAACTACTTTCAAATGCAAGTTAGTAGCCTAAAAACCAAGGAATTAGCCAGCAGTTTTTGCTTCTCATTTAGATCCCCTTTAAACACTTGACTGTATAATAATTAGAATCTGAGCCCTCAGCTTGGCAAAGGCAGCTTTTTTTTCTGCTAGTAAGGTGAACTGAAGGGTATAGAATAAATTGCTATATGATAAGGTCAGTTATTTTTAAATTAGGTTTCAAGCTTTTATACTTGCACTCTCACACCTTCCAACTACATAAAGGGCAGAGCCAAATTTTAAAGCACAGTTTCTGACAATTCCACTTGGATATTCCTTGGAAGAAAGGCTGAAAGAACTTGCCAGCTGCATTGCTGATATTCAGACACAAGGGAACATGAACTTGGAATTTTTTCTCCCCCCTTCAACTGGAAAAAGAAATTCAAACAGTAAATTAAAGCAGAAGTGTAATTATTACTAGGAAGGAAAAAAAACATGAAAATAGATAAAAAAGGAGAGTTCTCCTATATATGCAAGACTTGGAACAGTATGTGTATATCTCTGTCATATCAAAAGTTCTGTGATCCATCTTCAGTTTTTACAGGGGGAGAAAATGGATCAATCTCTCTTTTTTCCACAGTTGTCAGAATGCAGGTATGCAAGGAATACAGTACAAGGAGCAACACAAAAACAGTGTGTTCCTCTAGAGCAGTGCTTACCAAACTGTTTACTAGCTCTGGGGTGCATCAATGTACAAGCTCCACAAATAATTCAGAATGAATAAGGAGGTTACAAGGACTATGCTGAAGTCACATACAGAACTCGCTGCCAAAGACACTTTCATGTGCCAGGAGTATAAATGATTATTGGAAGATCAGAAAAAGCTAATGTAATAAAGGATTTGTGCTGCCTGTTGAAAGCCCAGCTGTGAGCACTGCCTCAGGCCCTGAGGTCACAGAGCAGCAGACAGGGAGGCAGACTGAGAACACCTTGCATTTGCTGCTGTTTTCTTTTCTTCAGCCATCCCCAGACAGTTGAGCTACACTGACCCTTGGTCTCCTATGGTTTCATCAGTCTTACTTTGTTTTACTCCTCAATAAGTTAAACACTAAACTACTAAAAATTTAGGAAGAAAGCAGCAAGTAAATAATCAATAATATTTTTTTTTTCTCTTATTTAACTCATAACCATTATTAAATCCAAAAAGGGGTGTGGGGGGGGTGTTCTTCTGGAATTGAAATCCAAAGCCACCCCTAGAAAAAACAACCTCTCAGAAAAATGCCTGTGCTTCCTCATGTCCCATCTGTGTATTTAACTCTGTATATGCTCAGGCCAGATCTATTTTATTTCATATTCTACTCCTGGTCAGCTGTGAAGTTTCTCTTCTAATTTTGAAGCAGTTTTCTTCTATACCTCAAAGACAAAACCACACTTGTGGTCAGTGCCATCATTTAAGATAAAACAGCTGAACTGCTAAGAAAGTGCTGGGGTTGGTCACACAGATTTCAAAGAAACTTTACCTTCCTCTCTCAACTGCAGTTAAAAACAGATAAATACACAGGTTTTCTACATTTCCCTTTCACTAGACACAAAAATACTGGACAAGGAGCCGTCCCGTTTTGTGCTGTTCCACACAGCTCAGCACGAACATCTGCCCTGTCCTCTACAGCAGCAGATGATGTGACCTATGAGCCCGGGACTCCAGAGACAACAGGGTGACCACTCCCTCCTAGGAACAGCCAACAAACACGGGATTGTCACAAAGCCAAAGGTTGATTTTTCAAGATATGCAGCACCACACAGCTCATCTGTCACATCTCACCAAGCTGAGAGCATTCAGCACCTCTGAAGACATCTGGATACTTGACCTGAGACTCCTCTGGCACAACGAGACACCATTTGCAAAGACTTATTTCAAACACTCAACAAAATCCTTCAGTCTACCGTGACTGCAATATCCTGCAGCAAATGAGACTGGGATCCTGAGCAGGAAGATCCCCATTCACTGTTAGACTTGGCAGAGCTTTTCAGCAAAGAAGGTACAAGTCTGGCAAGATGACAGCAGCCCCATCTCACAAAGCACAGTAAATCAGTAAATGCTATCATCACCACCACAAGCAAACACTCCCAGCCTCTACCCTGTGGATCCTGCCTGTGACTCCACAAGCAGCTGAACCAATCTCATCATTTGTGCAGGCCCAAGGTAAAACAAAACTTTTCCACCTCCAAGTCTGACAGAAGCCATGGCCTTTCACTGTAAATACTTCTCTGAGGGCAGGAGTTAGGCTGTATTTTCTAAGTGGGATGAGTACCGCATCTACATTATCTGACTGCCAAATCTGAGCATTTTGAGTCCATTTACTTACTGGGGCTGACAAAAGATAAAATAATCCCTATTACCTGCAGGTATCATGCCTACCACCCTACTGGTCCAGGACTAAACTATCAGGAATCTGGCAAAGCCAAGCTGTAATTCAGGTATCTAACAGACATAACCACCCTTGTCTCTTTGCAGAGGCTGTAACTGGTGCTAGGGCAGACCTGGATGCTCCCGTGTAACTTCAATTTGGGGCCTGATGTCCCTTACAGCAGCTGTACATGCAGCACCACTTCTGACAGTGCCAGCAGCAGCACATACAGTAGTGACACTGCTGCTTCTGAAATTAACTGTTTTAGCTACTTAACACATCACAAGCCATATGCAGTCCTTCCAACCTCCTGTGAGATGCATCAGTTGTCTAAGCAGCTCAGCTCTGTTCAGCGAGTCAAGAGATTTCTGGACTGAGCAACAGTTTTGGAACGAGATGATGTTGAGAGCCCCGGGCTGCTGCAGGGCTGTGCTATTTCCAGCTGTAAAGAACTTGAATGCTGTTTATTTTCTAACTGTACACCATCAAATCTCTTTTCCCTCCTCAGAATTTTACACAAATCCCCTTTCATGTGACAGTAATTAAGAAAACCTTAAGAACAGGGGAATATTGAACAGATATCTGCGTTGCCCTTCTGCAGAAACCTGTCTCATGCAGTGGTTACCACTGGAAACAGACAATGTTTTCTGTCTTCTCCAACCAAGACAGCCTGAAACAATATTCCAGCTGCAGGAAAGTAACTACAATAGCAACAAGCTACTCAAAGCACCAAAAACTGCACTGAAATTCAGAGCAGCTGATGTTTATTTTAATATTACTTTTAATTATTTACATATACCTGCTTTGAGGCATCTTTCATCGTATTATTTAGCTTTGGGAGAAATTCTAATCTTCCAGTATTTTAATACCAAAGGACACCAGTGAAACTCAGGCATGGAATTTCAAGATCTGAGTAAATATAGCAAGACTAGGGAAGGATGTGAATATATTTTCCTAAAACACAGCCCAAGGCATAAAGAACTATAAAGAGTTTGAATAACTGCCAAAGTAACTTCACATTCTGTCTCCCATTAGTTGTCTTCAGCACATTTTTGCTCAAAAGTCCCTCAGAAGCAACACCAAAAAACCCCAAACCCTACCCCCATCCAAGAAAACTAATGGTAGTGAGGCATTTGTCTAGTAATGCTCCCATTTTTTTGTAATAAGGTTTTAGAGGGCCAGACTTGAATTTGAGCAATGTTTAGCTATGTAATTGAACCTCATCTCACTTTGTCCAAGCATTTTTTTGAATCCTCTCTATATTTTCAACTTCTGTGAACTATCCTGGTTCCTCAATCTTTCCCCACACAGAGAACAGAATGACTCACTATTCTATTACCACACAAGAGAGGACAACACCCACAGAGTCTGCATGGAGTTATCTTTGCATCAAGCTATCTTTACAAAGTCATTCAACAGTAAAGTTACTTTCAACTTCTTTAAAACCACTCTGTGTGAAATTCCTGCTTAACAGAACTCTCAGAGGAGGAAGAGATACCATCGGCTCACCACTGTCTCAAACTGGTATTTCCAACCCCAAACCAAACTGCTGAAATCCCCAAACCTTCAGCCAGACAATAATCTATTTTTTCAGCCATTTTTAAATGAGTCAGGTACCAGTAAATCATCAGATCATCCCAACCCTCTCTGTATTTTAAATTATTTGCAGGTGTCTCTCTCGAAAACGTTTAAATATGGTGCACCTATTGAATTCACATCATGTTGGACCTAACTTTTTTTTTTTTTTTAACCTGTTAGAATTAAATCCTTGGATTGGCTGAAAGAATGTTCAGTTTCATATTTGAATTCTCGAGTTTCTTACAGAAGATCAAGGCACATACAAAAAGAGACCATTATGAAAAATATTCTGTCAACTCAAATCTGAGTTTAATGGATATTCCAATTTTTCTACTGGAATAGACTGCTTGAGTTTGGTCCTGGTTTTCCACAGGGATGAAAAGCAATGTAGCTGCTGCACATGTACACCACACCTACAGAAGTCTATTTAAGCAATGGCAGTGTCTCAATAAATTATTGCATCATGCTAGCATTACCATTCCACACTGGCATGCCTGCAGCCACACTAGATATCCTATGAAGGTGTTCCTAACTGCTCATGAAAAATAAACCAATCCCAAAACAACAAAAAACTTGGGAAGAAAAAAGTTTTGTTTCTTTGTTTAACAGTAAAAAATGGTTTGGACTGTTGGTTTTGGGTATTTTTTCAGTAATTGAGATTTCACACTGACAACCAAGAGTAACATCTCAACCCACTATAAAAATGAAGATTAAAGTTTAATATGCCAGTAGTTGAAGGCCTGTGGTAGCAGATGTGACCTGTGTTTCCCAACTGGCTAACACAAAAAATCCTCATATCATTCTAAGGTCAGTTCAAGCTTGAGAACAATAATGTTGTAAATTTGTTAGAAATAACCCAGAGCTGCCAGCTTCTGATTTAAAAGAGCTTCAGTTTTCACTTGATAGGCTTCAGCTGGAACAAACAGTAAATTATAAGGAATCAACAGAAGGGATTTAACCCAGTGTCA